GAGTAAATGTCTGTTTCTTCCTCGTCTTTTCCAGGCCTCCTGGTTATTCCAACATGAACCAAGGAGGAATGATGGGTACTGGACCTCCTTACGGACAGGGACTTAACAGCATGGCTGGCATGATCAACCCCCAGGGCCCACCTTATCCCATGGGTGGAAATATGGCTAACAACTCAGCAGGTAAGCGGTGTGTCCCAGTGCCGAGTGCTGGGCGTTGGGTGACTTCATGGGTCTGGATTGGAAAGCAGTGTCATGAATTCTTGTAACTTCCTAGGGATGGCAGCAAGTCCTGAAATGATGGGTCTTGCGGATGTCAAATTAACTCCTGCAACTAAAATGAACAATAAGGCTGATGGGACCCCAAAAGCAGAATCCAAGTCGAAGGTAAAACTTTTTTTTTTTCTTAATATACACGTATGTATTTAATGACACGGTGTACGGATCCAGTGGGGAGTGCACCTCCCGAGAGAAACCCAAGGTGACTTGCCCTCTTCCGTGAGCAGGCTGGCCATTAGCGTGGCTGTTTGTGCAGCATGTGATGGTGCTGCTGTGTGCGAGCACGGTTTTAACTCAGCAGTGTGGCAGTGAGTGGGTACCCTCAGCTGGGATGTGTTGTTTTTAGGAGAGTGGCATATGCTGGCATCTCCTGTTAGGTGTGAGCAGGCTCTGAGTGCTGTATTCCCCATCCCTCACCAGAGTTCAGTCTGTCCCCGTGTCAATCCTGGGCCAGTCCTGTCTTTATTAATTACAGGGAATGTACCACAACAGATACCTCTGTAGGGGGTTAGTTTTTCCAAGTCTCCAAATGCAGTAGATAGCTAATGAGGCTGTTGCTTGGTTTGGAAGTGGTCTCAGAGGAGTAAGGACTGTGTAGTTTTGGGGGGAAAGACGTTTGCAGTTGGTTGAGGTTTTTCCTGATATATTTAGCGATTGAGCCCACAGAGGGTCTCTCAGAGAGATGATTCTACAGTGCCTTTGTGAGGTTTGATTGGTTTCTGTAGCATTCATGAAACCTTTTTCTTTTTAAAAATATATATCCTGTAAGTACTGACTGTTCTCTTGATACCTTTGTGTCACACTTGTCTTTTAGACTGACATGCGTGGGTCTAGTACAAAGCTGGTCTCAATATAACAGCAGAACCTCAGAACCTCGAGCTCTGACTACTGTTTGAAGCCATCTTGTATGTGAGCTAGGTGTTTTTGTTCTGCTCAGTCCTGATATGTTTCCTTTTCCTAGAAGTCCAGTTCCTCTACTACAACCAATGAGAAGATCACGAAACTCTATGAGCTGGGTGGTGAGCCTGAGAGGAAGATCTGGGTAGATCGTTACCTGGCCTTTACTGAAGAGAAGGCCATGGGCATGACAAACCTCCCAGCAGTTGGCAGAAAACCCTTAGACCTTTACCGGCTCTACATTTCAGTGAAGGAGATAGGAGGATTGACTCAGGTGAGTGTAAAGCAACTACTGTGGTGACTGAATGTTTGTGCTCAGGGCAGCCCAATGTCTGGCAATCACACATCAGTAGGCAACCGAAGTAAGTTGTGGCTTTTTGGCTAGATAGAAAGCTTGACTTTGCATTTAACTGTGTTTATTTTTCTTAAATAATGCTTATATAACCCGGGATCCTTTTAGCTAGCCAAATGTCTGCATTCTCATTGCCTGCTTGAGAACAGTGTGTCTTGAGGTTCAATGAAAGTCTTTTTTTTCCTATCTTTGTCTATGGCAAAGATTGGTGACACTGTCTTTGTCCTTACATCTGGCTGTTAACTGATCTCATGGCTGATTTTATTTGCTGTGTGGCACTATCTGTACCTCTTTGAAAATTTTTTCTGTAGGCGAGGAAGTGATTTTGCTAGTTCCTGAACAAACTGTATCTGCTCTGCTTTAGCCCTTATTGCATCCTTTGTTTCAGCTGGGAAGTGGTTCTTTCTTGGAGGAGGCATAGGTGGGATTTTGAGTTTACAGTCTCTTGTTTGGTTGTGCAGGTCAACAAAAACAAGAAATGGCGTGAGTTAGCCACAAATCTCAATGTGGGCACGTCCAGCAGTGCGGCTAGTTCTTTGAAGAAGCAGTACATCCAGTGTCTCTATGCCTTTGAGTGCAAGATTGAGCGAGGTGAAGACCCCCCTCCAGACATCTTTGCTGCTGCTGATTCAAAGAAGTCTCAGACTAAGATACAACCTCCATCTCCAGGTGAGTGTTGACGCTAGTTTAAGTGTGCAGTGAACATTTGAACCAGAGGACCCTCTAACACAGCATGTTTGACTGCATGTGCTGTGGGTCAGACTGGCTCCAGACTTCCCCAAAGCCCCCTTGTCTGTCTTTAATTAGATGTTCTGCAGTTTGTAGGCTAAGTAGGTTGGTAATATGGATGTGAGTGATCCTGGGAATTTCATATATATCGTACTGGGAATATAACTGTCGAGACTTTTGGGATAGTTCTGCTCTTGTGTGTAACTTCTGTAACTAGGTATAACATACATACTGGTGTACATACACCTCATACTTACCAGACCATGAATGCCTGATGAGAATTTGAGAGAGAGAAGCCTGGAGTTAGGCTGTCAAGATGTTCTCTGCCCATTCTAACATTTCCTATCATTAATGCTTGATCTTTTAGAACTTTCTAGAAAAGTCTGACAATGCAGATTCTTCCTCCTAGGAGCAAATGGTCAGTCTACATTTGTACTCACCTTCTTTATGAGCTAATTCTTTTTGTCTTTAGCAAGTGAGTACTTTGAGACTTCATGTCTGGAGAACTTTGTAAGCCTATTAAGCCTATTATGAGTTAAATGTTCTAGAACTGAAGCCCTTTAAAATGAACTTCTAAGAAGTTTGTAATTCATTAATCTTCGTGGCATTGTTTCAAATTTGATGGTGTGCTCCAGTTTCTGAAGACTTAATCATAGGGTTCAATTCAGATTTGTTAAAATAAACTAAGAAGAAAAAAAAAATAACAAAGCAGCTGGGCTAGCAGTGCATGCTGTACTCTTCAGTCTGTGGAAGGTCTGATAGTTTCTGTCTAATCTGCATTGAGTTTGCCACTTGAAATGCTGCTGAGCTTGTCAGCTTTCCAGCTTGTCTTATAAGGAAAACCCTCAGGTGCTGTTTCTGGTCAGGAGCTTGTTTGTGTAGGTGAAATAAGAACTGTGACACTTGGAAGTTCCAGTAATGTTTGGGAAAAAAAACAAAACAAAACAAAACAACAAGCCACACACAAAAAAGCCTTCTTGTTGCTGAAACTTGGTGTCATCTGTGCCTAGCTCCTGAGGATGGAATAATGAGGTCTTTATTTGATTGTACTGTGGTTGTCTCTCAGCCTTGCTAAGCCCTTGACTGAAAGTGTTCTTGTCCAAATATAGTGTTAACAACTGCATTTATCTATTCTCTCTTAAGAGTTTTTCTTAAAAAACAGAATAATACCTTTGTACCTGGCAGGAAACCTTTCCCAGCATAGGTACACCTTGGTGAGGAGAAAATAATTTTTGTTTCATTATAACAAACTTCTGCCTAATGTTGTTTCTAAGTTCTTAAACTTGATTGTGAATCCCTTCTCACTTTCTTCTCAAAACATCTTTCTTGCCCCCTGAGATAGCATGAAGTGGAACAAAGAAACTGAGAGCATTTGGGGCTTATTTGGAGAGAGTTGAGATGTTTGGGAAACCACTTAAAGCTTCTTGTAGCAGTAGGTGCCTGTCAGAACTGATTAGGTGGTACATCAGGTTTTCTTTTGTTTTTTGCCAGACGTGGTGGTATGTGAACGTCCCAAGTTTGCCTTCTAGGGCTGTGCTACAAGTGGTCTTGTGCTTCAGCACATTGGTGATTGGATTTGGCAGGGTTGCTATCACAAACCACAGCTTTGTGCAGCTCTCTTGATGCAGTCCATCACTGTGATTGCTGCTATGTGAGGACTGTTCTCTATTTCGTACTTAAACTGCTCTCTCTGCTTGTCTTACTCCAGACTCCTGCAACTGGGAATATACAGAAGCAGCACTGAATCATGGTTGGTTGCTGTGATCCTTTTAGCCTTATCACTCAGTATGTTTGTGCTCCTCTTTCATTTTTGTTTTCTTTCTCTCTCTTGCTCCCCTGCATTAGCAGGAGTGAGGGCATAGGACACAGCACAAAGGGTGGCCTCAGCACCAGCTCCAGACTTCAGGGCTGTAGATTCCCAGGGGTCACAGTTGTTCCGGGGTAGCTGAGGCTCATTTTAGTAGCATCTCTAAGGCTTCTGAGCCTGTTTGCCAAGGAATCACTCTTCTGGAGCACAACTTCCCTATTGGAAAACTGAATGGGCAACAGTGGAGCGTTCAGGAATCCCACTGTGTGGGGGAGGGTCTCTCATCCTGTACAGACATATGTGATTTTGCTCTCCTTGTAGACTCTGTAACCTGTTGGCATTGGCTGACATGTAATTTCTGGCTACTCTATCTAAAGTAACATTTCAGTGCTTTATCAGTGATAGAGGTCACACTGCATGGTTCTGCATTAGCCACTGTGTGTGGCCCTAGGGGATATAAAAGCCTTGCAGGGCGATGATCAGAGAAGAGCTCTTGGTGCTGAAGATACTTTCCATGCATTGTGCCTTCTTCACCCTCAGAAAGCAGAGCTGTTTACAGAAGGGCCTCTGAAGCAGGCTGGTGACTGCCCTGTGGGCACTCCGCACGGGTTTGCTGCAGACCGCGTTGGGTTCCCATTCACAAACTGCAGCACTTCCCCGGGGAGCCGTAATCAGCCTACTGTTGGGTTTTAATTCCCAGAGCGTGAAACTGGCCTGGCTCCAACTGTGTGTGAATTTGTGAGTGGGAGGGACAGCAGGGGGTGGGGACAAACACCAAATGGCAGCAAGGCGGGGAATGTCTTGAGGCCTCTTCCTGCCGCTGCCAGCATTTGTAAGCACTAGAGGAACAGCAAATTCCTGGGGGAAGCAAGTGGAACCAAACTGCTGCTGAGAAGGGAAGGAGAGCTCCTGGAAGGGTTCATGAATGAAACTCCCCGCTGAGCTGTCTCTGCCCTTCCTTATGCCGAGAGCTCCCCGGACTGGGAGGGAGTCGCAGAGAGGAGGACAGGGTGCCAGGAAGGTGGGGTGTAAACAAACATGCCCTGGACATGACCTCGGAGGATTTTAATGAATAGCTGAAATGACTCATCAACCAGCAGGGCTGAAGCTGAAGGATGTCGGGTGCTGGGGACGGTAACTAATGGAAACATTAATTAAGAGTTCAGCTCCTGCCAGCTGCGAAGAACATATAAACCTGAGAGCTGACACTGTCACAGCAATCCAGGGGCAGAGCTTCACAGCACAGCTGGATGGCACCTGATGGCCTTGGATTTTTGATGAAGGCTTAGCATGGTGTGAAGCAACCTGTGCAGAGTCAGGGAACTTGCTGGACAGGTTTTGTTGTTCAGTGAGAGATCCTGCATCTCTGGCATTCCTTGTTCCGGGAATTCTTGGGAGTGGTGCCTGAATTCACCTGCGTGAATTCACCCCATTCAAAGGGCAGAGCAGACAGAGGAGCCTTGTTCAGAGTTACCCAGTGACTGCAGCAGAAGTCCTAGAGTTTCCATCAATTGGAAAGATTGTAAAACTTCTGAGAGAGGGCTTACACCCCCCTTCCCTCTGGGCAGAATTAGGATGTGAGGACAGTGGGTCAGAGGTTGTCATTTGGCAGGGAGAAAGACATTGCCTACTGCATGATCCACTGTAGAGCACTGACCTCTGAGACTAGGTAGTTTGGGCAGCTCAGCAGTGCTACAGCGATGGCCCTGTGTGTGTAAAAAGGAAGGTGGTCAAGCTGTAATAAAAATGAACACATCCTTTCAGCTTCACCTTACTCTACAGGGTTCTTCTGGGAAGTCTGGTCCACTACGTCCTTGGAGGCATTGCACTCCTTGTACTGTTTTGGCCACGTTTCTTCTGTCACTTTCTTCAAAGACTGATTGCTGTGTGTTACAGAGGCTGGTACTTTGGGAGGTTCTGGGTTACATCTGTAGGGTGCAAAGCTGCTCACGCCACGTTTGTGTTCTTGCAGCAGGTTCAGGCTCGATGCAGGGGCCTCAGACGCCTCAGTCCACCAGCAGCTCCATGGCAGAAGGAGGAGACCTGAAGCCTCCTACTCCAGCATCTACACCACACAGTCAGATGCCTCCTTTGCCAGGCATCAGGTATGCAAGTGTTGCACTCTCTTTCACCATACTGGATGTAAGTTGTGATTGTGAGTTTGCCAAAGGTTGCTTCCACACCTGGCTGGAGACTCCAGTACCTGTTTTGATAGACTCCTTGGCTTTGCTACTTTGTTAATAGCTCACAGCGATATTGTTGACCCTTTGTCTCTGTGTGTGAATAACGGCTGCTTTTGGGATTTGGTAAGGATAGTGTTGTAGAAGGGCAGTTCTTGCCTCTTTTGAGAAGCATGATTATGGACCTTCTAGGGGATAGCAACATCTGAGAGGGAATATGTGGGGGGAAGAATCTTGAGAAGCACTGTGAGTCTCTAAAATCTTTGTTTGTTTTCTTTTTAAATCAGGAGTAACTCAGTGGGCCTTCAAGATGCCTTTACAGATGGCAGTGATCCCACGTTCCAGAAGCGGAACTCCATGACTCCAAATCCAGGGTACCAGCCCGGCATGAATACCTCCGACATGATGGGTCGCATGTCTTATGAGCCAAATAAGGATCCTTACAGTAGTATGAGGAAAGGTGAGGCAGTCTGTGCGTACCCCTCTCCCTTTTCTCCGTGAGCACTATTAGTGTATCTGGATGAATTCTGGAATGTGCTGTAGGAGAGCTGCTTGTCCTTTCACAAAAGAAGGGATGTTTCTTTCTAATGCAGAGGTAGATGTGTTTTATTGATCTTTGTTTCATTCTTCTAGCTCCGGGAAGCGATCCCTTCATGTCCTCAGGGCAGGGCCCCAACAGTGCTATGGGTGACCCTTACAATCGTGCTGCAGGTCCAGGGATGGGTAACATGGCCATGGGGCAGCGGCCACACTATCCCTACGGCGGTCCTTACGACAGAGTGAGGTGGGTGCTTTAGCCACACTTACTGACTTGTTTGTTTCAGCTGAACTGATTGCTTTCTCATTGTTGCTTTGACTTGTCTGATCACTGGTTTTTGCTTTTCATTTGTGCAGTAAGGGGAATGTCACAGAATTTGTCACTTGTTTCCATGTAGGACGGAACCAGGCATGGGACCAGAGGGCAACTTAGCAGCTGGAACTCCACAGCCAAACATCATGCCTTCCACCTCGGAATCGGGGATGTATTCTCCCAGCCGCTACCCTCAGCAGCAGCAGCAGCAAAGGTTTGTGTGGGATGTTGCCACAAAGAGCTCTTTCCAGTTGGAGAAGTGCTGTGATAGAGAAATGTGTCTAATGAGAAAAGTGATGCATGTGTTTCTTCTCCAGACATGATTCCTATGGCAATCAGTTCTCCACTCAAGGCACATCCTCGGGCAGCCCCTTCCCTAGCCAGCAAACTACCATGTATCAACAGCAACAGCAGGTAGGTTATCAGAAAGTATCAGAATGAGGAGTTGAATCTGTGCCAAGTGTGAAAAGAGGGGTGATGAAAACTCTGGAATGTGTGTTTGCTCTATGTGTAGGTGTTGAACAGAATTAAGTACGTTTTACAGGAGGTTTTCTTGACAGTTTCCACATAGGCAACAGAAGTTTTAATTAGCGTTTCCAGTGTTGTGTTAGAAAAACACAGTGTTTGGAGAAAACAGCTTGCGTAGTTTCCAAATCAATGTGATCTGGGCAGGGAGCAGAAGGTCAGGAAGCATTCCTGGGCTTCTTTGCTGATCTGGAACTTTCCTGGGCTGGAACAGCTGCCCAGAGAGGCTGTGGATGCCCCATCCCTGGAGGTGTTCAAGGCCAGGTTGGATGGGGGTCCTGGGCAGCCTGGGCTGGTGTTAAATGTGGATTTTGATGTCCCTGCCTATGGGGGTTGGAGATTTGTGATCCTTGAGGTCCCTTCCAACCCAGGCCGTTCTGTAACACTTTGAATCTGAGTGATGATATGAACTTGTTTGGAAGAAGTCTCTCATCTTTCTGGAGAAGCATTTCAGGTGGATCATTCTGTGTCTGCCCTACTGAGCCTGAAGGCAGAGGCTTCACAACTGCCTCCACACCCCCATTGTCCCACTGCCTTCTGTGTCTTCTCAAAATCATCAGCTTTCTTTTAGAGCAGAGTTTGAATGAATGTGTATATCTTTCCATAATCCTTGTATATGACTTGCTTTTTGTATCAGTGCCAAGATGCATAATGTTTTCATGATAATTTTGAGCCCTTTAGTTGAGGAGTGTATGGAGAGGGCACTCTCAGATCTGTGCTAAGAATAATTTCAACTGCTCTGCAGTTTGGCTCTGCAACCAGAGCCACAGGGCTGTGAGCCAAGAGTTTGAGTTTCTCTGGTACTTGTCACCTTTGAAGCCAGTCATGACATAAGGGCTTCTGAGTTGACTGTGTAGCAGCTAGAGCACAGACCCTTGGTGGTAGAGAGGTCTTGGATTTTAATTCTGTCTCAGCAATTGACTGTTTTCTTCTGCACTTCAAAGCAGTATGGGAAAAATAGTTCTTGCTCCTTTCAGCAATGTATATTGAAATCTAAAGAAAAGGAAGAAGCAAGAAGTACAACAGTTTTCAACACATTTTGTTTGATATGTGAGCAAAAACCTGTGCTTTTTAACAAAATAGAGGACTGATAAAATTCCTGGACTTGGAAGGAAAGAAGTTCCTGTACGCAGTATGATTTGTGGTGAATGTACAGTAGAGCTGAGTCTTTTCTACAGGAAAGTCCTTTCTGCAGGCAGATTTCTGTCCTTAAAGCATTCTTGTAGAATCCACACGAGGAAGGTATGCAGCCAGCTGTGAGGAGTTGGTCTTGACTTGTGAAACTGAAACCTTGATCCAAATTGCCATATTCAAATTGGATATGGCTAACTCTGAGAGCAGTCTTGCCCTCTCACAGGCCAAGCTGTGGAGCGTTGTCCTCTGGCTCCGAACGCTTTTAGTCACTGTGTTTGGGTTGCCTGTTTCTAGTTTGATAATCTTATGTTGTCAATGCCTTGATTTTCCATCTAGAATTACAAGCGACCGATGGACGGCAGCTACGGCCCACCTGCCAAGCGGCACGAAGGGGAGATGTACAACGTCCCGTACAGTGCAGGGCAGGGGCAGACGCAGCAGCAGCTGCCTCCAGCACAGACTCAGCAACCGAGCCAGCAGCAGGCTGTGCAGCCTTCTCCACAGCAGGACCTGTATAACCAGTATGGGAGCACATACCCTGCTGCTGACCGCCGATCTGCGGGAGGGCCGCAGAACCAGTTCCCATTCCAATTTGGCAGAGACAGGGTCTCGGCTCCCCCAGGCTCCAATGCTCAGCAAAATATGCCTCCCCAGATGATGGGGGGTCCCATCCAGTCTGCTCCAGAAGGCCCCCAGCAAGGCGCCATGTGGCAGGGGCGCAACGAAATAGGGTACAGCTATCCTAATCGGCAGAGCGCTGGCTCTGCACCCCAGGGGCCTGCTTATCACGGAGTGACTCGAACAGATGATATACTGCATTCAGAACAGAGGGTAAACCATGAGGGACCATGGCCTTCCCATGGGAATCGGCAGCCTCCGTACGGCCCCTCTGCCTCTGTTCCTCCAATGACTAGGCCACCTCAGTCTAACTATCAGACCCCTCCTAGCATGCAGAATCACATTCCTCAGGTATCCAGCCCAGCACCTCTGCCCAGACCTCTGGAGAATCGCACTTCTCCCAGTAAATCTCCATTTCTGCACTCGGGGATGAAAATGCAGAAGGCAGGACCGCCAGTCCCCGCATCGCACATCACACCAGCAGCTGTACAGCCTCCCATGATACGAAGAGACATCACCTTCCCACCAGGATCAGTAGAAGCTACTCAACCTGTATTAAAGCAAAGGAGGCGGCTGACAGCAAAAGATATTGGTAAGAGGATACTCCTGCTTTTCTGCTTGTGCTCGTCAGGAGGCTGGGTGTTACCATTTCTCTTTGGTACAGCGCTGCCAAATGGAAGGGCTCTGCCAGCTTTGTAAGAACTCTCCCAGTTAGTTGCGATATCAGATAGAATGTTTGTGCTGGGTATTGTCTGTGGAGAGATTGCTTTTGCATGAAGTCCACGCAACGTGTTAAATAGGCTTCGCTCTTTGTGGGACCAGAAAGCAGTATCAAGTATCTCATTTTTGTTTTTAAACTCCAGGAGCTAGAAGTATCATGTGTTTATGTTCCAGGAACTCCTGAAGCTTGGAGAGTGATGATGTCTCTGAAGTCTGGGCTGCTAGCTGAAAGTACATGGGCCTTAGATACCATAAACATCCTGCTCTATGATGACAACAGCATAATGACCTTCAACCTCAGCCAGGTGGGTGCAGATGTTCTCTGATGAAGGTCTTTGAAGTGCTAAGTTTGTACAGTTTTCTGTCAGTGCGATAGTAAGAAGCAGCTTGTGCCCTTGTAGAGCCATACTGCCAGGTGTCCCTGTACCCATGGAGTGTGTCAGGTCTGAAAAGCACTTTGGGTCTGGGGAGCTGCACTGGGTGCTCACTAACCTGAATTTACATTTTGTTGGTGTACAAGAGTACAGTCTCTCATCCCTGGTGGGACGTACTAGCTCAAACACAGAAAAAAAATCACAGTGAGGAGGCCAAGAGGGGCTTTGCAGCAGAGTGCTGTGAAGGGTTGCATGCTGCTTGCCTAGCCTGATGCGATGGCATTCGCCTCTAGCTCTGTCTTTCCCCATGAGTCAGTGTGCAGTGTGGGCCAGCCTATCTCCATGAGTTACCTTGTGCCTGCATGGCTGTTGTCAAAGCTGTTCCACAATACTGTGAAGGCTGTCTGCTTAGCATTGCCCCCTTCCTTTCTGTGTGTTAATCAGGAGATAAAACCAAGAGCATCTGTGTTTGCACAGGTACGGGTGTGTGGACTATGCTAGTGTTGGATCCTGGCAGTCAGGGTCTGTTTCCCTCTTGTGTCTGTTCTCAGAGGACAGAAAGCTCTCTTTTGCTAACAGCTTATTGCCAGCATGAACAGATCTCATTAATAAACAGCACTCCTTAAGATCTCTGCTCTTTATGCAGAATTTTTCCATTTGTTCATAGTGGCCTAAGTTGCTTTATGATCACTGTTCCCTTTCTTCCTTCCTTCCCCTCCCATTTTTCTCCTCCCCCATAGTTGCCAGGCCTGCTGGAACTCCTCGTGGAGTATTTCCGGCGCTGCCTGATCGAGATCTTCGGAATCCTGAAGGAGTACGAGGTGGGAGACCCAGGGCAAAGAACACTATTAGATCCCCAGAGGTTCTGCAGATCTTCAGCTTCTTCTCATGAGGAAGGGGAGGAGGATGAGGAACTACAGAGCCTGAACTATGAGGAGGAAGAAGATGATGAGGAAGAGGAGGTGGCTGCATTTTCGAGCAAGGACAAAGCACCTCTGGAGTGCAGCGAGGAGAAATTAGTTAGTAAATTTGACAAGCTTCCGATCAAGATTGTGCAGAAGAATGACCTGTTTGTGGTAGATTATTCAGACAAGCTGGGACGAGTGCAGGAGTTTGAGAGCGGCCTGCTGCACTGGCGGATTGGTGGCGGTGACACTACTGAGCACATTCAGACCCACTTTGAGAGCAAGATGGAGCTACCTATGATTCACAAACGAGCGTCCTGCAATTCTGTCTCGAGGAAACGCGCAGCAGCTGAGAGCAATCCAAGCACTAGGGAAGGAGAGGCTCTTCCATCTGACAGCTCCTCAGAGAAGAGAATAACTGCCACCATGGACGACATGCTTTCAGCACGTCCAAGCTCATTATCAGGGGAGGAGGAAGAGGCCAAAGCTTCAGAAACAGAGAAGGAAAGTAAGTTTCCATTTGGCATTAGTCCAGCACAGAGTCACAGAAATATAAGAATTCTGGAGGACGAACCTCACAGTAAAGATGAGACGCCCCTCTGCACCATCCAAGACTGGCAGGACTCTCTGGCGAAGCGTTGCATCTGTGTCTCCAACATCATCAGGAGTTTATCGTTTGTGCCAGGCAATGACTTTGAAATGTCCAAACATCCCGGGCTGCTGCTGATTCTAGGGAAACTGATTCTTTTACACCACAAGCACCCGGAGCGCAAGCAGGCACCCCTGACCTATGAGAAGGAGGAGGAGCAGGACCAAGGGGTGAGTTGCAACAAGGTGGAGTGGTGGTGGGACTGCCTGGAGGTGCTGCGTGAAAACACACTGGTCACGCTGGCCAACATTTCTGGCCAGCTGGACCTGTCTCCTTACCCAGAAAGTATCTGTTTGCCTATCCTGGATGGACTCCTCCACTGGGCAGTATGTCCATCAGCAGAGGCCCAGGACCCCTTTCCAACGCTGGGGCCGAATGCGGTCCTCTCCCCTCAGAGACTGGTTTTGGAAACACTCAGCAAACTCAGCATCCAGGACAACAACGTGGATTTGATTCTTGCAACTCCCCCTTTCAGTCGCTTGGAGAAGCTGTACGGCACCCTGGTGCGTTTCCTTAGTGACAGAAAGAACCTGGTGTGTCGAGAGATGGCTGTGGTACTACTGGCCAACTTGGCACAAGGGGACAGCCTGGCAGCGAGAGCGATTGCTGTGCAGAAGGGGAGCATTGGCAACTTGCTGGGCTTCTTGGAGGACAGCCTGGCCGCCACGCAGTTCCAGCAGAGCCAGGCCGGCCTGATGCACATGCAGAGCGCGCCCTTTGAGTCGACGAGCGTGGACATGATGCGCCGAGCTGCTCGAGCGCTGCTCGCCCTGGCCAAGGTGGACGAGAACCACTCGGAGTTCACGTTGTACGAGTCGCGGCTGTTGGACATCTCCGTGTCGCCTTTGATGAACTCTTTGGTTTCACAAGTTATTTGTGATGTACTATTTTTAATTGGCCAGTCATGACAGCTGTGGGATCCGAGACCCTGTGTGCGTGTGCGTGAGTGGAGAACTTAGAAACTGACTGTTGCCCTTTATTTATGCAAAACCACCTCAGAATCCACTGTCTGCCCTGCGCTGTCCTGCTTCTCCCTTGGGGAAAGATGTCCCCATTCCCTTACCCCTTCCCCTTGCCCTTCAAATTTGTCCTGAATCCCCTATTAAAGGAGACAACGTTCTGTCTACATAGAAGACTTTTTTTTTATTTTAACCAAAGTTACTGTTGTTTACAGTGAGTTTGGGGAAAACGACTTGCCGTGTTATCACATTGACAGGCTCCACTTTCATAACTTGTTTTTAATGGTAAACTCTGAAGGACAAACAAAAGTGACTGCTGAACTCTGTGGTTTATCGTTGTACATTCACAATCTTGCAGGAACCAAGAAGTTACCAGTTGTGAACAGACCTTATCCAAGGGAGGCCTGTGCAGTAGCGTGTAGAACTTCATGTACTGTACACCTTAAACTGTAAACATACTGTAATACTGTCTCACATGAAAAAAAAAAAAAGCTGGATCAACAGCAAGCTGTAGTTTTTAAAAATGTTTTTAGTTAATGTTGAGGAGAAAAAAGGCTTTTCCCCCAAAGTATCATGTGTGAACCTACAACACCCTGACCTCTTTCTCTCTTCCTCCTTGATTGTATGAATAACCCTGAGATCACCTCTTAGAACTGGTTTTAACCTTTAGCTGCAGCCTGAATGCTGCCACGTGTGTATATATCTATGACGTTGTACATTGCACATGCCCTAAGATTCCTTGCAGTTTTGTTCCCCTTTCCCCACCCCTTTCTAGTATGACGAGTTAACGAGTTGATGACCTGCAAAAGCGAGACACAATTATTTAATCTCTTGCCAGACATCCCTCCCTGGAGGATGCTGTACAGGTCTCTGTGTATAAAGTCATTGCTGTCTCAGCAGCCAATCAACTTATAGTTTATTTTTCCTGTTTTTGTTTTCTTTCTAATCGAGGTGTGAAAAAGTTCTAGGTTCAGTTGAAGTTCCTGATGAAGAAACACAATTGAGATTTTTCAGTGATGACTTCTGCATATTTGTATTTCAGACGATGTAGCTAAAAACTTGATGTAAATTCCTCCCTTTTTTTCCTTTTTGGCTTAATGAATATCATTTATTCAGTATGAAATCTTTATACTATATGTTCCACGTGTTAAGAATAAATGTACATTAAATCTTGGTAAGATGTTTGTAAGGTTTTTCTTCATTAGCAGAGCGCGGGGCTGACCTCAATGCTGTCAGGCCCTGTAGGCGTGGTGTTGCAGGTCAGCTTTGTTACCATGCAGCAAGGAGGCCTCGAAGCTCCAGGCCAGCATCTTGTTTAGCGGCACAACCAGGTAACAGAGCAGCACCTTGCCATGAGCTGCCAATGCTGTATGGTCTGGCTTTCCTTCTCTGATGGGCTTGTGTCACTTAGGCTCCAGAAGGGCGGATTTGCCGTGTGAGGTGAAGCTCTGGCATGGAAGGACGGACGTGTAGCTCTCAGGGTGGAGAAGGGCCTTGGAAGGGAGGCATTTCCCTGTCAGCTCTCTAAAATGGACAGTTTTCACTCCTCTTGCATTTTTCACTCATTCTTGGAATTGTGATGTGGACTCAGTCATCTTCCAAGGATGGGGTTTTCCAGTGAACAAAAGTCTGAGGCCCTGAAGCACAGACCAGAGTTCAGGCTCTTCATTTGACAGTCTGCACGTTTTCATGCTTGGTAAGCAGATATTTTATTCAGCCTGAAGCTTTATCCTCAGATGATAATAGCAGCAGGCGAACTAGAACTGCGCTGAGCTCACTTAAGCAAAAGTGTTGAAGGGAAAGAAGAGGCTTTTCTGTCTTTTGTACAAAAGACGCCTCTTATTTCCCCCCAGCCTTCTCTCATGAAGCTCGCAGTTCCTTCAGCCCTTAACTGTAATCCTGAAATTCAGACTTCTGGAAGGAATGGTGCCTGAATCAAATAGACCTTCTGAAATGTTTACCAGCTGGAATTGTGGGAACTCCTCTCTGGCTTGTCTGGGAAAGGGGAAGTCCTTAAAATGGAATTCTTAAGAGGAGAGGAATGATGCTGGGCTTCCTTGACTTTAAACGTACTGAATGGAAAAAGAAGTGGTGTGATGAGAGTTCTGTTGGCCTTTGCTGATTTGTGACTTAACTGTTGGTTTGAAACCCACCTCTCTGATAATTGAGCTGTATGTTCCAGGAGCTTTGTTCAAACTGCTTGAATTAAAAACTACAAAAGATTTCAGCATTTCAACAGGGAGGACCTCAGCAGCGGGGCTGAAGAAGGTAGTGTTAGCAGCTTCTGCACAACCTCTGTTGTGTTTCTGTTACGTTTCAGTGAATTTAGTAAAAAGTGAACGCTCCACGTGAGAGTGAAGGTCACATGTGGTACAACTACCCGTTGTAGTGGTGTTTACACGAACAGATGCTCTGAGGGAGTGATTCCGCTCCCTCAGTGCCTGAAGTCGTGGCGTGGTGTTTCCCTGGTGCTTCTGCCGTGGTTAAAGAAAAACAGCGAGAAATCAGGGAGGTGAGAACGCACAGAGTTTACAGTTGGGACTGAGCTGAGCGCTGCAGGTGCTCTAAAGCTCCTTTTGGCTCTAAAGCCGCCGTTCCTCCGCGCTCTGCCACGATTCGCACCCGCAGCTTTCCCGTGCGGGGCCCTCCGTGCTGCGGCAGCGCCTGACCGCGACACGAAGGCGCGGCCCGCCGCCTCCGCCATCACGAGGATGGGGCGCCGGGGAAGCCGCACATCTCTTTTAAGCCGTTAATACCGTGACGTGCGCCGTGCCCGGGCTGCCGGGCCGTGCCGCCGCATAACCGGTCCCGCACCGCTGTGTCCTCCGCGCCAGCCCCGGGCCCCCGTGGGAGGAGGCGGCGGCGCGCCGTCAGCTCACGGCCCCGCCTACCGGCCCCGCCCTCCACCTCGGGCGGAGAGAGAAATCGCCTTGTGCCACGGCGGCAGCGCACCGCGCGGATTCCGCCGAGCCCGGCAGAGTTTTTTGCGCACCGGCGGCGCTCGGCGGGAGCAGGCGCCCGGGCCGACGGCGCAGCGAGGAACCCACCCGCGGCCATCCCCGCACGGAGCGCCGCCACCCTTCCTTCCCACCACGTGAAGAAGCGTACCGGAAGCGCGGGGAGGGACAGGAAGTGACGCCCCCGGAAGTAGCCGCGCGCGGCGGCGCATGGATTCGCCTCTGTTGGTGCCGGAGCGGGAGCAGGAGCGGCGCGCCGAGCGCTCAGGTGGGGGAGGGGAGGGGATGGGAGGGGCTGAGAGGAGAGGCGGGACCGCGCCCGGGACCGCCCCCCCCGGCACTGCGCCGCTCCTGCTCGCAGCCCCCGGAGGGACTGCGGCCCCGACCCCCCCCCCCTTGGGCTGTGTCCCGCTGCTCCGTTCCCGAGAGGCGAAACGGAGCGAACGGCCCCACTGCGGCGCCCGGAGGGCTGAGCGCTCGGAGCGGCTCCCGAGTCTCGTGAAAGCGGTGCCGGGCGGAGCTCCGCCCGCTGTTCCGTGCCTCGGCTCAGGCTAGGAGGCGGTTCCCGTCGGAGCCCCGCCGGGAGCGGCCTGCCGCGCTGCGCGGAGCAGAAATGCCTCATCCGGAGCGCTGCCGCCCCCGCGCGGGCATCGCGCCGTGCTGCTGCGCGTCCGTCCGTTGGCGCAACTTCCGGAGTTCGTAGCGGAGCACAGAACGCCGTGTAGAAACACGGAGGAGGACAGGAATGGTTCTTTACTTCACACCTGGCGTTATTTTCCACTCTTGCCTCTTCTGGCCCTGCAGGTGCTCTTCGGAGCAGCGCCGTGTGGGGCAGAGCCGTGCGAGCTGCAGCTCTGTGATGAGGTGTGCTGCAGCGTGACAGGAGTGGTGCTGCAAAGGCCTGCTTTCTTGGCATGTTCGTGCTAAGCTTCTCTGTCCTTTAAGAAAAAGAAGTACTTGGGCGATTGTTGGCTGTGATCTTTAATAAGACTTGCAACTGTGAATGTGCTTTCATAAAACTTGCAGCTGGGCTGAAGTATCCACTCATAAAATAACGTGGCTTTGTGATTTGGGATAGCGTGCCTCCCACTCACTGCTCTGTAGCTGTGAGTGCTGTGGAGCAAGAGAACGTGAGCAGAACCAAAACTCTAATACATGGCAAAAGAGGAAGAAGCAGAATTGCGTGGTTCAGGCTGGGACTGTAAGTGAATGCGTTTGGGTGCTGCTTTTTGCTTTGCTGTTGCCTTGGTTTCTGCTCTCGTATGCAGCTTTTAACCTGTCTGATTTTTCTCTGTCAATAAACTGGAAATAGGAAAACCTCTGAGAATTGTTAGGTCAGCAGGTCAGGTGAGAATTTCAGGAATCTTTGTGCACTGTTGCAGGCTGGATTAGAAAGGTGGGAAGTGGTGCAGGATGTGGTGCTGGAGCCCAGAGAGAGCTGTGGGTCTTTGGTTAGTCAGACTTGAAAAGCCGTTGGTGGCTGGGGAACTAACGGAAGAAATGTGTTATCTTAAAAAGCTGCAGAGCAGACACTGCCTGCCTGTGTGGCTCCAGGCCAACAGTTTTCATAGCTGGTAGCAGAATGTCAATCCAGAATACACAGAAAAGAGAGCAGTGTGACTCTGCAAAGTGCTTTAAATCTCACAGGTAAGGATTTGAGGGAAGAGATGGAAGAGAGCCACCGTAGCACGTGTGGTTTGCTTGGCAGGCAGATGCCCTCCCTCTGGAGAGCAGCAGCCCTGCCAAAGCAGGCAAGGGTGCAGGTGGAGAGAGCGGCGTTACACACGTGTCACGTCCCAGAGGTGCTATATGTGATGAGGGAAGCCAATGTGTCTGAGCGGCGTTAGCTTTGCCCCGGAGGAACCTGCAGGGCTGCGCTGTGCGGGAGGGGCAGCCCTCAGTACTGCATTTTTTTGCTTTCTAGGAGCAAACGCTGGGCAGAGAGCACGTGAGAGCAAAAGGTGCCTGGCAGTGCTTAGCCAAGTGCAGCCCATTGGCAAAGGGCTTAAACAGATGTTATGCTCAGATTCCACATTTTAGTTGTGTCTCTAGTCCAAAAAAATAAGTGTCATTGAATGTATTGGAACTTGAATGTGCGTGTAGTTGCTTGGCTGATTTGTGGCTGGAGCCAGTGGTTTTCTGCTGAGACAGCCAGTAAATAGGGCAGTGTGGCTCTGCTGCAGGCATTTACATTGGCCTAGTCAGAAATGGACTGATGATGTGTTGCAATCTCTCCTCCTCTGCATCCTAACCAAGGTTGAGAAGTCAGGGATGTTTTTCTTTTTTAATAGGAACAGTATCAAAGATTTTTTTCTGTAACATCTCCATGTCCCTTGGTTCCTTGATCTCTTTCATATGTGACTTTCTTGTTCATAGAGATTTACAGCCCTCTGAACTTCCTGGTAGCAAGTAAAAATGAATAATGTACAAACATGTCTGAATCCAGAAATATCTCTTGGTGTCTCTGCTCTCTGTTGATCAATTCAGGTTTCCAAAACTGGAGGGTGAATTTCCCCAGCATCAGTGACCGAGGCAGCTTTCAAGCTTGGGATGGAGCTGGCGAGCAGGCAGGATCCTTATTTGCGAGTGGTTGTGCACACTGCAGTGTGCTGCAGAGCCCTGACACTCCTGCTACAGGCAAGTCTTCTGTTCCTGAACCACAGGTGCTGCAGCATCTGCTGTTCTGTGGTCCAAGACTTCTCTCTTTGGTACTGCATGATGCACCACAGACTGGTTCTGAGTGGTTGGGAAATCCCCTTCTCCTTTGGAGAACCAGGAGACCAGCTGCATCCAGGGAGGCAGGATGCTGTGAAGTAAAATTACATACATTTCTGCATAACCTATGTGTAATGCTGCTGTTGCAAGAGGTGGGTTTGGCAGCCTGCAAAGCTGAAACGTCCGTTTATCCGCAGAGCAGGAACAGTAATCTGCTGCTGCACATTCCTCCCAAGTCTCACTTGCAGAGACATACTTCTCTGAGTGCAGAAGGGTGCTATTGGTCCATTCTGTTCTGCCTGTGTGTGCCATGGCAGCAGAGCCCAGCTGTAGTTCCTGAAGCCAGAGCAGCCTGGGGCACATCTCCAGCAGCCCCGTGACTGCTGGGTGGGACTGAGTGGAACCTCAGAGGGGACAAAAGGCTGCCTTCTGCAAATTGGTCCAGATGTGTGGTTTTTTTGTAAAACATTAGGTTGTGAATTGTCCCGGTTTGTTCAGTATTGCCTCTTCTCTTGTCTCTGTTAGTGCTGAATTCCTGGCCAGATTCTCATCCCAATCTCCAGGTAGAAAGCTGCAAAAAGTACTGTCTGGAGGGTTTGTTTTTAAGAAAAACAGTCTTGTTTGTCTTCTGCACCAGTTTTCTGTAGTTTTGTCTCCTCTCTCTTGTCTGTCAGCTGGGATGGGAGCACCAAATTCAGTAGCAAAGGCAGCTTACCAGCACTGCAGAGGCACCAGGTGTGAGCATATGCAGTTAGATGTGCGTGAGCAGGGAGCTGAGCTGCCTTTCCCTGTCCAATTCCATGGGGATTCATGTTGGATATTGTCAGAATTGTATTCAGTTCTGCTAAAATGCCCCACAACATGTGTCTGCTTTCACAGTTTTATAGCCATCCTTGCTGGAAATCCCATTAGCTTGTCTTCTGTGCTGCTCGTCCCCTTCTCTGAATCCCAGAAATGCTCTTCCAGCCCAGTGCTCCCAATAGGTTGCAAGAAGATGTCTGCTGTCCTTCAGTTCTCTCTCCTCCTCCTTCCAGGCCGTGTTTGACCTGCTGATCCCAGATCACACAGCAGATGCCTTCTCCCCGCCTCGTCTGCCCGAGCCTGGCGCATACGACCTGCTGCTGGAGCAGCTGCTGGGGGGCCTGGCACACTGGGACGCAGAGCATTTCCTCTTCATCGCAGAGCGGGGTTACCTGTATGAGCACAACTGCGCCTTCTTCCCGCTTTACCCTCTCAGCTTGCGAGCTGTGGCCGATGGCGCTCTGTGGCCCCTGCGGCAGCTGCTGTGTTTGCGGAGCCGCCTGCTGCTGTCAGCCGTCCTCCTGAATTCTCTCTTTTCTGTGCTGGCAGCCGCTGCCCTGTACAAGCTAGGCTGTGCCGTGCTGCAGTGCCGCAGGACAGCCTTTCTTGCTGCCCTTCTCTTTTGTATCAGCCCTGCCAATGTGTTCATGGCAGCTGCTTACTCGGAGAGCATGTTTGCCTTCCTGGCCTTCAGTGCCATGTGGCAACTGGAGAAGGGGCAGAGCTGGCTCAGCATGCTGCTCTTCTCCCTTGCCACTGGCGTGCGTGCTAATGGGCTTGTGAATGCTGGTTTCTTTCTCTACTCCCGCAGTAAATCCTTTGCCCTCCAGCTCCAGGTGGGTTCAGGCTCAGTAAGGAAGCTCTTTCTGTTATGGAGGCAGTTCCTCAGTGTGGCATCTTCCATGCTTCTGACATGTGCTGGGATTTGTCTGCCTTTTGCTTTGTTTCAGTATTACGCCTACATGAGGTTCTGCAGCCCTGGCCTAAAGCTGGCTGTTCCTGAGCCGCTGCGGCAGCTGGCTTTGGACAAAGGCTATCGTCTGGTGTCCCCCCATGGGGTTAAACCCCCTTGGTGCTCCCAGCGGTTCCCTGTGGTCTATTCTTACATTCAAGATGTGTATTGGAATGTGGGCTTTCTGAGGTATTTTGAGCTCAGACAAGTACCAAATTTTTTGCTTGCTTTGCCTGTCTCGCTTTTGGGCTCGTGTGCTGCCTGGACCTTCATTGTTGCAAACCCACGGCACTGCCTGACCCTGGGACTAGAGAGAAGAAAGAAGAAACGAGAGGGTAAACCCAGAGCTGGGTTTTGCTGCCCTGCTGTCTTCGTGTATGTGGTCCATGCTACAGCCCTGCTGACGCTGGGGTTCTTCTACATGCATGTTCAGGTAAGACGTTCATGGCAGCATCCAGAAGTGATTTCTTACGGGGAGCATGGGGTGATAGCTGAGGTGGTTCGGTGATGGTCACAGCCTGTGACAGCCACAGGGCCGGCAGAGGGCTGTGCAAGCCCAAGGTTTTGCCTCTCCACTTGTGATGCTACTTCCACGGTAGCTTTCCAAAGCCTCGTCTCTGCTGGAAAGCTCCCAGAGATTCTGTGAGGCGCTCGCTGTGGTTTGACAGGTGGGACTGAATCACATCTGTGGCGTTCTCGTGTCAGCTCCCCGAGCGCTGCCCACCAGAGGGCGCAGAAAATGTCACGTCCTGTGACGCTGAGCTGGGTTGGCAGCGTGGGGGTCCAAAGCCTGCCCAGGTCCCTTGAAAGTGCTTCTGGGTGCTTTTTTACTGGCACTAACTGTTGGGGATTGTGGGGAAAGAATAATTGAAAAGTGAGATCCAGGACCCCCCCGGCAGCTGCTGTCAGTGTTCCCGGGTGGGACTGTGACGAGGACTGCAGTGGCGGTCACCGCGTTTGCCCAAGGTCCGTGGAGCCCCTGGCCACGTGCAGAAACGCCTTGATAAAGGCAGCTGACTGAGAGGCGTTTCGTTCCACGTGTAATAAATTCCAGCGCCGCGAGGTGGGGCTGTGTGCCATTCTCTGTACCGACAGGCTCGGAGACCGACCGACGAGATTCTCTGCCTGTTGCTTTCAGGTGCTGACCCGGTTCCTCGGCTCCTCCAGCCCCGTTCTGTACTGGTTCTCCGCCCACCTGCTCCAAGGACACGAGGCCTGGCTCTGGGAGGAGGAAGCCGGCGGGCAAAGCGCGGTGCGCGTCCGCGAGAGGCGCGTGCTGGGTGCAGCGCCAGGCTCCTGCGGGAAGGGCTCTGCGGGGGGACACCCCCTGCTCAGGCTGCTGCTGAGCTACCGCTCCATGACCGCCATCGGGCGGTGCCTCCTGGGGTTCTTCGCGTCCTATTGGCTGCTGGGGCTGGTACTGCACTGCAACCGCTTGCCTTGGACGTAGCGAGCGGCTGTGGCCGCGACGGACAGCTAGGTGACGGGAGGAGGAGTCCGAACTGAACGTTTTCTAAAGAACCGGACACGTCCCGAGGCCGTCGTCCACGACGAGGTGCTGTCGGACGGCCCCGTCCCACGTCGGGTGCCCGAGCGCGACCCGCGCTGCCGGCAGCGCCCGCAGCTATGCCCGGGCCGGGCCCGCCCTGCTCTTCCGTCGTCTCGGCGCGGCCGGCAGGGGGCGCTGCAGTCGGGCGGCGGGGCGGGGCGCTGCGGGCTCCGAGCGACGCCGCGAAGCACCGCGAGTAGCGGCGGACCCGCCGCTCCGGAGCGCCCCGGCGGCGATTTGCGCTGTTCCTCGACCACGTCTGCTCGTGCAGCGGCGTCTCGGCCCCGTCCCGGCCCCTTAGTCGGCTGTCCCCGCCCTCGCAGACGCCGTGAATGCCCGCGCTTCCCGCCCGCCCCGTGGAAAAGCGGTCGCCGGCGAGCTCGTGGCGAAGCTCCGGTACTGCTACGGCTGCGGAGCGCCCCGTCCCGAGCGGAGCTCTCACTGCGGCGGCCGCGTCGATGAGTCGCGAACGTCGCACTGTGCGTCCCGTGGGCGTAGCGCTGTTGGGTGCTGCGTTTATGTTCACAGCGCGACGGCGATGCGGCAGCTTGATGCGGAGCCTGGGAGCCCTCGGGCTGCTCGGCTGAGCTAAGAAAACGGTGTGGGGCCAAAGCCGGCGATTTCAGCGTGGAATTAGAACTCTGCGTTCCTTCTTGTTGCTGGTCTCATCCTGCTAGCAGGGGGAAAGAAAAGGCAATGTCCCAAGCTGAAAAGGCTTTTGTAAAGCACAGAAGTGCACTGTGCAGCTCAGACTGCAGCCGTGCTCATTTTTCTGGGCATTCCTATTTTCTTATCATAGAGCCATGGAATGGTTTGGGTTGGGAGGGACCTTTAAGATCCTCTATTTCCACCCCCCTGCTGCAGGCAGGGACACCTCCTACAGACGAGGTTGCTCACAGCCCCATTCAGCCTGGCCGTGAATGCCTTCACGGAGGGAACATCTTCAGCCTGTTCCAGTGGCTCACCACCCTCACAGTAAAGAATTATTCTCTAATGTCTAATCTAAATATGTACTCTTCAAAGAGACTTTAAGGCTGTTTTCCCTCATTCTGTTGCTACGTGCTCTAATAAAAAGTCCCTCACCAGCTTTCCTGCAAGGTACTGGAAGGCTGCTATAAGATCCTCCTGGAGCCTTCTCTAGGCTGCAGAGCCCCAGCTCTCTAGGCCTGTCCCTTTAGGGGAGGTGTTCCAGCCCTCTGGTTCCCTTGAAGGCCCTCCTCTGGACTCACTCCAATAGCTCCATGTCCTTCTTGTGTTGGGGGCCTCAGAACTGGATGCAGTACTCGGGATGGGGTCTCACGGGAGCAGGGTAGAGGGGTAGAACCACCTTCTTTTCTCTCAACGCACACCTCCAAATCCTCCTCAGGGCTGTTTCTTATGCCAGGAGAAAGCCATCTTTGTTCTGTACACTGAAAGCAAACCCTTCAGCAGCTCAGGGAGTAAGAGCTGAGAGATGCCTGGCAGTGGAGGAAAGCTGTGTGTGGTCGAGGATTGTGGGGCTTGTGTTGCTCCATTTTGAATCTATTCAATTAGTTCTTAATTGTTTTGAGCAGTTTGAAAAAGTTGGGTATACTTGGTGCACATGTATGAAGTGAGATTGAATAACAGGTTAAGTGACAGCTTAAATATTTGTCTTTTTGGTTTGGACCCCATCCCTGCTCTATAACACAGGCATCACTTGAAGTTCTGAGTGGTGTAGGCATGTGGAGAGCTGTTAGTGCAGAGGTGATCTGCACATGTCCTTCCTCCTGCTCACCTTTGGCTCTTGTCCAGCCTGTGGGCACTCAGAGATTGACCCTCTAGTAAAAAGGACCCTCTGTCCTCTACTCAGTACCCACTTGTGAGAGGATGGGGTGAGCTGAAAGGTGTTCGTCCCTTGAGCCGTTCCTGTCTGGATCTGCTGCCCAGTGGGTATTCTGTTGGTGTAGGCGCTGATGTTTTTGGTCGGAGTTTTGAAGCACAGCAGGTGAAGCAGAGCGGATGGCAGTTGAGGTTTGCAGGAGTGTGGGCCCTTGGCAGCGTGCCTTTGGTGAGCTGCGTTGGCTCAGAGACTGCACAGCTCTGCTCTGATGTGGTTTGTCAGCAAGAACAAACTTGGGAGATCATAGATTAGCACTTTATGTTTGGAGAGAGTGAGAACTAGATGGTTTTTTTTTCAGCTTAAACTTTGTTCCCCAACTCCAACCTTTCTGGTTCCCGCTGGGGAAGCAGTGTGAAGGAGGTGAAGCCCTAAGCAGAAAGGCAGCAGTGCCTGGAGCTCTCCATCAGATCTGTGCCAATCTCAGCAGCTTTGGAGGTGTCTCTGTGCACCTGGAGGATGTGGTACAGAGCTCCAAGCCTGGTGTCAATGGGACACCATGTGCAGTGGTGGTTCCCCTTGTCACGGAAAAGAAACCTTGCTGTTTCCCGCATAGATTAACGGGTGCCCTTGAGCTGGTTGTGCCAGGACTTGCAGCCCTATCCCTGAGATGGATGAACTCTCCTGCCCCTCCTTTGGGTACCAGCTTGTGTCATGTCTGGCACAATTAAGAGGGATATCAGAGTTGGAGGGTGTCCTTTAGAAAGGTTTAAAAAAGTAACTCCGTGCCTTGATGTTCAGCGTCATGAGAAAATGACTCGGTGGGTGGAAAACAGCATTATACTCTCTGCTTCTCTCCTCCCATGTGCAGGAATCACACTTCTCAGAAGCACAGCACTGCAGGATAACACATCACTGACAATAAGGTGAGTCTCTTTCTTTATTGCTGATCTGTTTCTCTGTGTGTTGCAGGACTCGTCTGGTGCTGGCAATCCAGTGTGCAGCAGGAAGCATCCTGCATCCTTCCATCAAACAGTCAGGCATGGTGGGACCCAGGTGTGACTTGGATTTGGATCTCATGGTACAAATCTGTTCGTAATGCTAAATGTGTAACTGAAGAAGTACCGGTCCTGATAACTTGAATTCTGTGGTGAGATAGCATCTGCAGGCTGTGCTAGTGTTATGA